TTTTGAAACTAAAACTCAATATACGTAAGATTAGTACTCAAACTACTTTCTATATGGAGCAAGTGTTTGATCAGTACAGTTATGATAGTCAACTTTTGAAAATAAAACTCAATATACGTAAGATTAGTCTCAAACTATATGGAGCAAGTGTTTGATCAGTCAGTTATGATAGCACTTTTGAAAACTAAAACTCAATATACGTAAGATTAGTCTCAAACTATATGGAGCAAGTGTTTGATCAGTCAGTTGTGGCAGTACTTTTGAAAACTAAAACTCAGTGTATGGAAACATTTTGTTCATTCATTTTTTAAAACTATCTGTTGAAGAAAACAGTTTCTTCAAAATTACTGATGATCCAGAATATGTCAATTTGTTTGTTTTAGAGTAAATCCACATTGGGGTATTTACCATGTCCACTGCGGGGAATCTAACATTCCGTATTTTAGCGTTGTAAACTTACCATTGTCCCACTGGGGGACAATTATGTCAATTACGGAAACTCTAATAATATAGAGACGATTCTTGAGTAACATAGAAACGACAATGATTATTGAGCTTGTATTTTCTAACCACTCGACACTAAACACTGACACTCATGGATCCAATTAGTGTTTATTAACAACACATCAGGTCTCTGATTTAGCGAACTTCTGTATAAAGCATGACTACCATCTTGAATATTATTTTTCCGTTCTTGTTTTTCAGAATAAAACCAAATTTTTCATCTTATTTTTGTAGTGAAATCAACGTTAAGACTAGGCTGGAGCTCAGCGGTGTGTCTACCTTTTGATAAAGTCGTAAGGTGAAACATTGAGAACATAAAGAATTTTCACCGGATACTGGTTGTTCTCTTTATTAAATAAGGTAGTATCTTGGTAAAGTTAAATAAACTAAGCATTCAACCATTAAAATATTTGTTGTTATAAGTTCAAACCTTCTTTTATACCCTTCAACCATTAAAATATTTGTTGTTATAAGTTCAAACCTTCTTTTATACCCTTCAACCATTAAAATATTTGTTGTTATAAGTTCAAACCTTCTTTTATACCCTTCAACCACTAAAGTATTTGTTGTTATAAGTTCAAACCTTCTTTTAAAATGACAAAGAGTCTTGCAAAATCTTGATGAAACATCGTTTATTTTAATTCCGTCATTTATTCTTTTATACTGATAAAATTATAATCGGAGTCTCATTTAAGATACTGATTAAATTAATATCTATATTCTAGTCTGAAGATGGTGGTAAGAGTATTGATAATATTCTTGCTCAAACCATACTCTAGATGTTGGGCAGATCTGTGGTAAGATTGTAATCTGAGTCTAACTCGAGACACTGACAAGTGTGTGAGAAGATTCTAACGTGAACGAAACTCAAAATATTCTTCAGATGCAGGACAACAGTAAACAACGCGTTTTGCTATTTATTTAAATATATATATATATATGTACATATTTTTCTATTGAAATCACACTTATGTTTTTTTTTCATTATAACAGTATTATTTTGTTCTTTTTAAATCTATGTTTGAATTTCTGGTAATGGAAAAAAAATTAAAAAATTGAATGAGAGAGATTTTGCACGAAAAGTGTTTGTAGTAAAGCACAAAGCTACACAATATACCATCTGTGTATCGAAACCGAGTTTTCAGCTTTACAAGTCCGCAGAAATACCGCTGAGCAGCTTGGAACGAATTTTACACGACTAGTTAACTAACTTCTATGAAATCTCGGATAAAAAGGTATTTCTAATAATACGTTTGTTTGTTCAATTGAGCAATAATTTATTTATGCAATGGGTTTGTTTGTGTGTTTTGAATCTCGCGCAAAGCTACACTAGGGCTATCTGCGCTAGCTGTCCCTAATTTAGCAGTGTAAGACTAGAGGGAAGGCGGCTAGTCATCACCACCCACCGCCAACTCTTGGGCTACTCTTTTACCAACGAATAGTGGGATTGACCGCCACATTATAATGAACCCACGGCTGAAAGGGCGAGCATGTATGCTGGGACGGGGATTCGAACCCGCGACCCTCAGATTAAGAGTCGAGCGCCCTAACCACCTGGCCATGCCGGACCTTATGCAATGGGATAGAGGGAATTTTGAAGTGCGTGCCAGAAGGAGAGGAACCAGTCAAAAGCACTCGCAACTGAAACAGCTATTTTTTATTAAACAGCGGGATTGACCGTCATTTTTTCATGCATACACAGCTGAAAGTGCGAAAGATGGATGGTAGAGCCAGGTCTCTAACCCTGGGCCCTCGAATTCACTAATCATTGAGTTACGCTAAGACCATTTTATAAGATAGAGAAACATAAAACGAAAGTATACATACATTAGGAACATAACCTTTATGTAATCTTTCTCTTCATATCTATATCTGCCTTACAAAAAAAAATCAAATATTTAAATGGGTTTGAACTAAATGAGAACGTAATGGCCTCTAAGAGAATCGATATGTGTTTTTGAACTTTTTAGAAGGAAATCTGAAAGAGAAGAAGAAGAGGATATCTTCAACAACTACTGCGTCGATGAATTTAATTTCATCATAAGTTATAAAGCGCCATCATTCTCCGCACCTAAGACGGAAACTAAAAAAATAAAATGAACATCTCACTTCAATAACTCCGAATTCTTTGCACGTACTTTTAGATTAGTGATGCCAATCTCCAATTCATGTCAGGCAGGAAATTGTCAACTTTCTATCATTTTCTCTCTTTATCTGTCTTTATTTCCTTCACCCATAAATTTCCTCGTCTCTCATTTCTAGCGCTCTCTAATTTACCCTTTAATTAGGTTGGACTGTGCTGATAGAAACTTTTAAAAGCATGAGTTGTAACTGCATACAAAATTTCCAATTTTGGTTGAAAACTATTTGAAAGTTTTAACGGTTACATAAAAATACAAAGTTTGAGAGATGTATATACATAATATACTGTCCATACGATATTTTGAGTATTGGCTGGGTATGTTACAAATCACAAAATATTTAAGAATTTTTAATGAAACTGTTAAGACCAAGTCCATTATTCTTTACTCTCGAACACATTTTCTGATGTAAGCGCCTCTGATGGTGAAATAATGAACTATTTTCCCATTATTAACGTAGCACTGGTTTAAAAGGATTTAAATAGGTGAACTAAGATTTAACAGATGCTTTTTTATGAGAACTTCTACAAGCACGTTATAAGAGTCTTCATTAAGTTGAGTTATTCGGCCGTATTATAATGACGGTTAGTTTGTTTTTAAGCACTTAGTAGAAAACTGTGCAATGGACTATCTGTGCGTGCCAACTACGGGTATCGAAACTCGATTTTAAGAGTTATAAGCAGTCAGACTTATCGGTGAACCACCGGGAGGTTTGGAGGCTGAAAATCAAACTCAAGCAACTTTTATAGTGTTATAACAGTACACTTACTCTTTAATTCTTGCTTTTCCTAATAATTTTGTTTTCGATTACTTGTGGCAGTTTAGTTAATTAAATAGTATTGTGAATGGGTTGTGTGTTTTTCAATCTTACGCCATGTTATGAAGAACACGTATCTCTTTCGTTAGATGGCTTATTGTAATGTAATCTAAATTTCCTAGGGATATACAAGCTTTCTGTCTGTTTGTCGTTAAGCACAAATCTACACAATAAGCTATCTGTGCTGTGCCCACCACGGGTATAAAAAACCGGTTTCAGCGTTATAAGCCCACATACTTTACGCTGAGCCTCTGGGTGGGGGGGGGGGCAATATAGAAGCTACTGGTTCAAGTTGGTTTAGTTTAGCTCAAAAAGCATATAAATATACGAGTTATTCTCAAACAATAAATATTTATTTACTGACTTAAGATACATTTATAATAGAATCTTTGTAAAATTAGGGAATTTTTGTAACTTTTGAAATATCAAAAGTATGAATAATGTGTTCAATATAACGAGATGTATTGAGGCAGTCAGGGATTTTATAGCATATTCCCTGTCGGCACAGTTACGTACCACATACACTAGCGACATCAAATGCGTTAAATGCGTGATATCTGCAAGCAGTAAACCCTAATTCACGCTTGACATATAAAGGTAATCCAGGAAACAAGTCTTTCTATATTGGCGGCACAAGAAAAAACAGCATCAGTTACAGTTTGACATTTTGGTGCAGATCAATATCTGTTTCCATAAACGTAAGGGAAAAATAAAAGGGTATACATTGGAAACATACATGAATTATCTATGAAGAAAATAAAATACGTACACTAGTGGAATATCAAAGAATATTAAAATATTTTCAGCCATTACATCTCTAATGGGGATCTTTTTAAACTGACTTTTTCAAAAACATAGAACTGACTGATTTATAATCCACACAAATTCCTATTAAAGTTAATCTGATTAAGGGTCTTGTGTCACCCTTTCATATTAGACTATCGAGGTTATTTAAATGTCACACACTTTGACGCTTTTTTAATTTTGGCTATCAAAGTTAACAACACTTTATGAACTTTAGTTTCTACTTCTTGCTTCTCACTGTCAAAGTTAATTACATTTTTAGACTTATTTTTTTCTATTGTTTAATCATTGTAGCTTAAATTAAGCGGTATAATTTTGTTTTCTTACACTTGATTCAAATTGTCAAAGTAACTCTGAAAATGTTGTTTTTCTTTTAAAACTTAAAATATATTACAAGTTCTTCTTTCTTCCTATTTTGACTCAACATTCAAATTTATTTAAACTTTAATTACCGTAACCTCCATTCAAACTTAAAAAAACAACAAACTTTTACTTTTTTCATTACCAAAATGTCTTAAACTTACGGTCCTTGAGTGTTTCAGCGGTTAGTTTAGTGACTTACAACGTAAAAAATATGGGTTGGATTCTCGTGTTGGACAGAGCGCAAATAGCCTATTGTGTAACCTTGTGTTAATACAAATAAATAAATTTAAGTTTATGGACTCATTGTCAGGGCTTCTTTCATTCAAAGGCAATCAAACTTTATTATCTCTTGTTTTGTTTTTCTTTAGTCACTTACATTCAAAAGATTATTGGTTTTTTTATTTTTGTCGCTTAGAACCAAATGCAATTAAACTTTATAGCCATTTGTTTTTTCTTTTGTCTCTTATAAACGCAAAAACAATTAAATTTAAGAAATACTAGTCTCTTAAATTGAAAGGTAATTAATTTGATAGTTTTTGCGTTTTCCAATGCCTATCGCTGTTTTAAATTAATCAAATTTTATAGTTTTAACTATGGTGTAAAAATTATAAACGAGAAAGATCTTTAGGGCTGAGAAAATTGATGAGAAATTTCTACTTATTGTAGATGATTTTATTAGTTACTCTTTTACGGATATAAAAAAGAGACCACATTCCAGATCCATCGTTCTGATCATACAAGTCTCTAGTTTCAAGTTGTTTAGATGAAAAACATTCTGGTTCTGAATGAGACCTAATTATGAAGCTTGTTAAAACGTGTTTAAAGTTTCAGGCAGAATATACGCTAACGGTAAATGACATTTTATACTTCAAGAGAGATTTGAGCGTCAATAGAAGAAATAACACTTAATCAAGCAAAGTTCCAAACCTCTGTCTATTATCCTTTTGTGTGCTTGTTTCTTTATTTTTACCGAACCGTTTAATTGAATATGATCCATGTAGGAAACTCACCTGTTTAAAAATGTGTCCGAAATACTCATAACAGGTAACCTTGTTATCTTTCGTATAAAAATATATTAAGAACAGATACTTCAGATATGTTTAAAAAAAGATTAAGGAAAACGAGGAATAATATAATGTAGTCTTTAGGGAACAGAAACAAGAAGTAAAGAGTAAGCTAAAATAATGAGAGGCTTTGGAACACAAATGTACTGTGTAGCTTTTCTCTCCATTATGGACAAAGATAGTCACAGAGTACGTAAACATTGAGCGCTTTAGATAGATAAGCGTGGGAAAATAAACAAGATTTGATATTTGCTGTATAAATTCCAAAAACTGCCGAGGCATTACGCACCAGTAGGCCTAAAATTAAAAATTAAAAATGGACGAACATGAAACATAAGAGAAACATGAAAAAAAAAACAATAACAAAATCTGCAGTTAACGTGATAATTATAACACGTCTTAAAATAATCAGTTGGAATTTTCCACTAAGATTTTTTTTCGTGTTTAGTTTGTTTTGAATTTCGTGCAAAGCTACAAGAGGGCTATCTGCGCTAGCCGTCCATAATTTTGAAGTGATAGACTAGAAGGAAGGCAGCTAGTAAGCAGCACCCACCGCCAACTCTTGGGCTACTCTTTTTACCAACGAATAGCGGTATTGACCATCACATTATAACGCTCTCACGGCCGAAAGGGCGAACATGTTTGGTGTGACGGGGATTCGGACCCGTGACCCGCAGATTGCGAGTCGAACGTCCTAACCACCTGGTCATAACTTTTGTAAATTAATATTCTCATTAGTTTACTCATTAACGTCCTAGCCACCTGGTCAAGCCAGATCCTTTGTTCGTTTGTTTACTTGTTTTGTAAATTTGTGCTTGTTTGTTGAATATCGTGTAAAGCTAACCGAGTGCTATCTGCTCTACCGTTCATAGTTTTGAAGTGATAGACTAGAGGGAAGGCAGCTAGTCAGTAGCACCCACCGTTAACTCTTGGGCTACTCTTTTATCGTCACTAATTTTACTACTCACTAACTGTATCGAAACCAGGTTTTTAGCTTTATAAGGCTTCAGAGTTATCGCTGTGCCACTAGGGGGCTAAGATTATAAATGTAAGTTAATTATACGTATTAACCAAAAGGAAAAACTATCGGCTGTGTGTTCAGGATCAACGTATCCAGTCAGTTTAAAAAACTATGGTTTATTATACTAAAATTTAACGTTCTGCAGAAGAGGTCTAGATACAAAGAAGTTTAATATTCTCATTAATATTTAATGCATTTCTTACAAATATTCCATACAGAGCTGCCAGTGAAATCCGATATGTAGGGGAGGAACGAGATAATTTTAAATACTTTAAAATCAGGTCAGTGAGTAGAAATGGATAAAAAAAACCCGAGCTCTTTAGAAAGGTGGACCTTTCGTCTTGAGGGGCCCCTGAGCCAACGTGTTTTTCTAAGATCATGAAGGCCAGTGAGTAGATGGAGTAACTGGAAACTGTAGCAGTTATACTCTTTCAACTCGAAATGTAACATCATCTTTCACCCAGATATTTCAAAGAAATATTTCTAGTCACTTATCAGTCGTCACGAGGTGTGAAGAACCGGAAATTAAGAGAAAATATTTACGTATCTCTTTTGAAGTCTCGCCTAAAGCTACCTCAAAAAGATATGTGAAACATAAAAAGAACATTATATAATATACGTTTAAAGTTTCTCTTATACATGGTGGCTTTAATGACGATTTGTTTGTTTGTTTTGAATTTCGCACAAAGCTACACGAGGGTTATCTGCGCTAGCCGTCCATAATTTAGCAGTGTAAGACTAGAGGGAAGGCAGCTAGTCATCACCACCAACCGCCAACTCTTGGGCTACCCAATTACCAACGAATAGTGGGATTGACCGTAACATTATAATGCACCCACGGCTGAAAGGGCGAGCATGTTCGGTGGATTACGAGTCAAGCGCCCTAACCACCTGGTCTTGCCGGACCTTTTAATGACGAAGACGATAGAAACATACGACGAAAGTAAAGGTGAGTGCTGTACAGACTGTATTTAGACATAAGCAGAAAGACGAAAAGCACCAGAAATGGGTTAGACATATATGTCTTACCTTAATCGAACAGAAGGAAGAAGTAGAAACACTTACATCAAAAATTTGTAGAAAAAAAAATGGATGTCGGATATCGAAATAGCTATCAGGGAGGAAAATGATGGAAAATAACGGAGCAAAACAGAGAAGACAAGAAGAAGAGCAAAAGGATTGTTGGAAGGTAAGCTAAGTTTAAAATTACAGAGAATAAACATTACAAATGAATAAATAATGCGACGAGGCATACGTAATTTCTTTGATGAAATACACAAATTACAAGGATTAATTGCCACTGTGTTTTATTCTATCGTAACGAAAATATGTTTTATATTACTAGGGTGGAGTTTCTTAAATAAATCCAAAAACATCCATATCATAGTACTTAACTTAGTGTTTCTAGAAAAATAAAAAGAAGAAAGATGCAAAAGTTGTTGTATCTCTTTATTTCTATTATTTACAGTAGAGAAATAGAAAAGGAATGGAAAACTGAAACGTTCTCTTAATGTTTTGGAGTTCAACTTTCATCTTTGAATGTAAACTCAAAAACAAAACATTGGAAGTTGGGTCTAGTGACGGTTCCCACTCCTCCTGAGACTCAACAGTGTCAGAAGGATCGTTACTTTAACAGATGAGATGTCGTTAGTTTTTGACGGTTCCAGCTCAACAGTAATCATTTTGACTGCTCGTTGACTTGCACGGAAGACGGGAGCTAATGGCTCTACAGAGGTTGGAGGCCCGTGACAGTTATTTCGAATCACGAACAGCCTGCGCTGGATACTTTTTCAGCGTTTTCTCTCCACACGCTTTCTTATCAACAACACCACCAGGTATTCTTCGCCATTTATTTTTTCTTTTACTCAGCTATTGATCTTTGGGACATTTTTGTTACAAGATACATAAGGGCTATGGATGAACTAGTGATTTTCTGTTATTTACTATTTCTAAGTAATTTATAGAATGTATTACAAACGTCAGTTGTTTTTCTAATCTCTTCGCCACACCAACATTAGTTTTGGGGTTGGATGTATTTTTTGTGGGCATTAATACCTAAAGAATCCTCAATTAGGATTCACTTAGAGAATGTCTAATAATGATTAAAGATTTTTATCAAGATTTTTTTTTCAAAAATTAATGAGAATATTCAGAGAAAATGATTTACCAATCTCGGCCAAAATTGACAACTGATTTGGTTGAGAGCTTCGTTTATGAAACGTTTATTCGGAAATAACATAACTTCTCTTTGGAAGGTTTTAAATCATTTCGCAATTCTTTATGAAAAACATAATTTTTAAAAATTTAGATAAAACCACTCCAATCAGGAATCGGAGTGAGAATTTGTTGAATAAATTAAACGCCTATTCTTTATTTTGTTTGTTATAAATCGCAAAGCTACACAATAGGCTGTCTATGCTGTGCCCACCACGAGTATCGAAACCTGGTTTTTAGTGGTGAGAGCCCACAGACTTGCCACTGGAGGGAGGGGGCAGTTTTACGACTGAAATAATTTTGAAAATTATGTTTGAGTCGAGTGTGACTCAATGGTTAGTATATCGGCCCATGGATCTGGAGGCCCAGCGTTTGTGTCCCGTTACCCCCCCCCCCCCAAAAAAAAGAAAACAACAACAAGAAACAAATCGTCTTCCATAATTTGAGACTCGTGGACGCGTAAAATGGTGACTCTCAAATCCCAATATTTGGTCAGACAAGAACAGCCCAAGAGTTTACGGTGGGTGCTGTTGCCTAAGTGCTTTTCCTTTAATGGAAATTCACCACACACAAAAAAAAATGTTTGGTTGTATAGTTTAAATAATAAAGCCCCCCCAGTGGCACAGCGGTATGTCTGCGGAGTTGCAACGCTAGAAGCCGGGTTTCGATACCCATGGTGGGCAGAGCACAGATAGCTCATTGTGTAGCTTTGTGCTTAATTACAAACAAACAATAAATAATAAAATATTTATTGCCAATGTTGTCAAGATAACTTAAAGTAAACGTTCTTTGTTGTTGTTTTAAATGGTAATGTTGTTTTTAGTTTCCAAGTATAATTCTGGTGGTGTTTGGTACATTAATTCTCTGCAGACATTTTGACCAAAGTAAACAATAAATTGGCTATAGCAAATATGAATGGAGCAAAAATGTGTAATTATGTTGTTTGTGTTTCTTTCAGCATAAATCAAATAATAATAAACTACAATAGTTTTTAGACTAGTAAGAAACTGAATTGGGACAACTTTTTACTCTAATAATACTGACTTGAACTTTAAACCACGTTTCTTAAATCCCACTATTTTAAGTATAGTAAGACTGACCCGTTTCTTAAATCCCACCATTTTAAGTCTAGTAATACTGACCCTTTTCTTAAATCCCACCAATTTAAGTCTAGTAGCATTGTCCGATATTTTAAGTTTAGAGACAGCAAATTATTTTTTTTTTTATGATTATGGTTGTGTTTATCGTTCATTTATTATTTCCTTCTATCGTTTAGTTTATCTATGAACTTTTGTTGCATTAAAATTCTAACTAACCTTCTACGTAATAATTTGTATTTTGAGTAAATATATATTTGTGTGTGATAAAACTGACACCAGCTTTCTTAGCGGTGACGTATAGATACTATTAATGTAGCAGAAGAGTATGTAAATTTATGATCACATGAGGTTGTACTCTCGTGACCTACTCTGTGAATAAATACCCTGCCAGAAGCTTTACTAAAAGAGACAGAGAGAGTCATGAGATAGTTATTGAAGAGTATAGTTATTGTTGTTTATCACTCGATATTATTATTGACATTGAAAGGCATTGTTGTTTGAATATTGTATTTGCTGCATTTGTTTATGAATTCGATTTTTCTTTCTGGTTTTATTATTACTGATTTATTAATATTTATGATAAATTGTTTATTAATACTGGTGTGAAGTTCTGGCCAAGCACTTGTTTATTAACTGTATTTTGCTAAGTGTTGAATTTATTTCTAAATGTTGTTATTGTGAATAAATTGTGTTTTTGTTGTTGAACCCTGACTGTAGCGGCGTGTTCATTTTAGACCGTTACAGAGTTATATCACTTTTAGCATTGTGTCTTAAATTTTATCACGATGGTTTACTAATTTAGAGAATGAATAGCTGAATTGAAAAAGAAAGAAAAACATAAACAGAACAAATGAAATTTAACATTGTCATACAACTATTAACGATCGTAAAAATTACTGCATTATAGAGATATAATAAACATATTAGCATGTGAAATGACATTAATCAAGAAAGGTTACAAAATTACCTAAGGTTAAATTAATTTTGGTTCTTGAGTTATGATACGGTGAAAAAACCAAATTCAGGCAATTTACTCATACGACATGCTCCCTCTTTGACCGTCATTGTAAAGGACCATGTATCAATATGTACCTAATCTAGGAAATATATATATATATATGAGATTTGTGTGTTCGATGAACAATGTACTCAAATAGCCCAAACCCATTTTTACTGACATTATGTAATGACAATATCTGCTTTTCTGGCAAATACTGATTCGATTTCTATAAGTCGAAACTAATGAACTACCATAAGTATCCTTCAGACTACTAATATACACCTGGAAAAAAGTTAAGCACCCCCAAATATTTTTCAGGATTGCTTATTGAAAATAAGATTTAATTTTCATGATGTTGAGCATTGTTCATAATTTCAAACATAATTAAAAGGATGTGAGCGTTCAGGTGTGACATTTAAATCAGGCGCGTTTTTTTCCCCACGTGCAACTTGCTCCCTTCTTCACGTCCAATATGCACTATTTTCTCGTGCATCA